TTACATTTTTTTATTTCTAATAAGGTTAAACCCCTCATCTTACATTGCCAGGCACTTGAACTTCTTTTTTTCTGATATGCCTTTTCAATCTTTTCCATTTTTCTTTTGAATTATCTTTTTCCTTTTGATCTGTAGTCATGCCCTATGCATTCTAGATACATGGTATCGGTTATGTATATTGCAAATATCTTCTCACTCTGTCATTTTGACTTTTTTATTCCTTAATAGTGTCTTTTGGGTAGGAAGTTCTGAATTTTAAGAAAATAAAATTTAACTTCTTTCATTTAAATCCCTTTCTGGTGTGATGCTAAAATCATCTTCTTTAGCTATCAAAATATTTCTTGATCATCAAGATATTTCCTTCCATTTTCCAAAAGCTGTATTTCCCATTCCCTCTTCTAGTCATCCAACATGGTTTTTGTTCCCCACTTCCCTGAAACTGTAATTGCCATCAAAGAGATATTTAAGGTCTCAGTCTCTCCCCAGAGCTACATATATGTATTTACATTTAGAGTTGCTTACTTGACCTTATTACTTGTATATTTAAAATGTAACAGATTCAGAAAGAAATTGCCAGTTCTCCACCCCTGAGCCAAACTTACTCCTCTCAAATTTCATCTCAGTGGTTCAGACTCCTAATTTGAGTCAACCTTGATTTTTTCCTTTTCTCAGCATCTAAATCTAGTCTATCAGAAACTCTTGTTGTTTCTCCTTACATATATTTTCTAAATGTTATTATTTGTCACCATCTTCACTGTTAGCTCTTTAATCAGTCTCATCTTTTCCTTCGATTACTGCATTAGTCTTCTGTCTCCCTTCTTCTCGTCCTCTTTACCTTTCTTTACAGAGTAGCCAGTGTAACCAAATGAGGTTCATTTGCCTGATGCATAGCAAGTCAAATGCTGAGACCACTGAATGTTGCAACAGAGAAAGTGTTTATTTGTTGTTGAATCCAAGTTCCTGTGCCCTATGCCCAATGGAACCAAACAAATGGAAACATTGGAATTTGGGGCAGAGAAAGGCTAATTGCAGGGGCCATGCAAGGAGTATGGGAGGCTCATGCTCAAAACACTTCAACTCCCCAGTAGTCTTCAGGGAAGAATCTTTAAAGGCAAACTTAAGGGGAGGGCTGCAGGATGCATGGCTTTCTTCTGATTGGTTGGTAGTGAGGTTATAGGGTGGTGGTCCAGGAATCCTAATCAGCAACCTTCTGGTTGCAACCAATCTGAAGTCTACATGCTTGTGCTCAGCCTGAAGTTACCATCCTTCACCTGGGTCAGGGCCTTACTTCCTGTCAAAGAACTCAAAGAAAAGTATCAGATTGTTATGTATATAATTTAAAGAAGAACTAATATTCTTATTTATCATTAGACTATTGTTTCTTGGCTGCTTTTCCTTTGTTTTTGCTTTCCCTCACACTCCTAATTATTAGCAGTTTATATGTGCTCTTTGGAACTCAGGGAAAGTCTTTGAACAAGAAACAGAGGTGACAAGGAAATGTTTTTGTTCCCAGGAGGAACCCACAGGGTCCTGCTCAATATCAGTCTTCTCTTTTCTTTGAAACTCCTTAATAGGTATGGGGCAAGAAAGAAAAAATAGTTTTGGACAGAGAGGTTAATCATAAATTTGGCAGAGGAACTCAGCTTCAGGGGGACTTTGTTTTATATTCATGAGATGGCCAAGTGAGGACATGGGAGAACAAAATATCAAATTGGACTTCCCAAAGGGAGGGACTTGGGATAAGCAAACAGGATGGTCTGAAGTGTGGGGAGAATGGGGAAAGATGATTGGAAATAAGAAAAAGATAAGGTAATTGTGGTTCTGCACAGATGTAGCTAAGCTACAGCCTTCATCGTAGAACTCATGGTCATAAAATGGTGGTGTAGGCAGGTTCTGAGGGTGCAACACCTGGCCCTCTGACATCAAAATGTCACTAAGTGGTTACTCAGGCATTCCAGGTTGGAGGGTCTGCTGTCTCCACCAGTCTTAAGCAACTGGAGCTTGAGCTGGACACAACTTGGGAAAACATTATATTGTTTAGATTACATGCCACTTGGAGGACATACAAGTTTTGTAGTAGCAATTAAAGGGAGTTGGGTCAGTGAAGGTAGGTTCCAGGTTTAATGGATCCAACTGATGATTAACCTCAGTTTCTCCAGTATAGACTTCAGAAAATAGAAAAATTTTAAAGACTTTTTTGACGTGGACCATTTTAAAGTCTTTATTGAATTTGTTTTAATGTTGCTTTTGTTTTATGTTTTCTGGCCTCAAGGGATATGGGATTTAGCTCCCTGACCAGGGATCAAACCCATCCCCGCCCCCCCCCCCCCATTGAAAGGTGAAGTCTTAACCACTGGACTGCCAGGGAAGACTAGAAAGTAAAAAAAACAAATAAATCAAAAAAGTCATCTAACTTCCCTTCAGAATTTTGCCTTTGCATTTATTTCTCAGCCTCCCCTAACACCAGTCTTTCTTTTATCAGTTTTGCTCCAGTCATGTGGACTTCTTGTGTGTTAGTCACTCAGTCATGTCTGATTCTGTGACCCCATGGACTGTAACTGGCAAGGCTCCTCTGTCCATGGGATTTTCCAGGCAAGAATACTGGAGTGGGTTGCCAAACCTCCTCCAAGGTATCTTCCCAACCTAGGGATCAAACCCACATCTCTTAGGTCTCCTGCATTGGCAGGTGGGTTCTTTACCACTAGTGCCACCTGGGAAGCCCCACAAACTTGTAATCACCTCAGGACTTTTACATCTTCTGTTTACCTTATTCTTTCCTTGAAGTTGACTCAGCTGGCCAGCAATTTGCCTGGCAGATTGGAAGTGCTCAAAATCTATTGGTAAACAAATAGATGAGTAAAAAAATGAATGGCTCATTAGATGGATGAATTTTGCAAGAAAAAATCATTTATTAATACTGTATCAACAGATTTTTATTGCATAAGTAATTCCAGTCTAACTTGTGTGATTGGAGGTAGGAAAATGCCTGAGCTTTGTTTGGTTTTTAAATTAATTTCTCATTTATTTCAGTTCCCTTTTTCACCAGAATGACTTTCTGCTTAATTTGAATTCTGATCAGTTTGGTTTCTTTGCTCCGTATAATTTGTTTTGTTCCTGGTGAATTTAAAGTTTTTGCTTCATCATGAGAGAATTTGGAGATGAAGTGATATGGGAGAGGTGGATTTATTCAAATGTCTCTTCATAAAAATATGAATATTTGCTAAATATTTTAAATAAATAATCGAATCTGCTAAATAAGTACTTTCCTTTATAGGTTTCAATAAATGGAAACTAGAATGTTTATGATTATGTGAAGGCACACACACAAACATGAAAACACACCAACACTCTTGCACAAACACATTCCCTTGAGACTTACTCTAAATGACCAGTTTAATATTGTCCTTATTGGGAGCAGCCAGGAAGTATCAAGTGAGATGCTTGCTTAGTTATAGAGCTTGATTACAAGGCAGTTGAAAGTGCCAATACTGTAGAGTCTAATTGTCAGTTCTGTTGTTGGAGAACCAATTAAATAAATTGTTTTGGATTGTCCTTCATAAACCATAACTTCCAATAAATACTTAGGCAGAGAAATGATTTTAAAATAGTTTATTTGGAATAACGTGTACCAGTACTTATTTGTACATTTCACTGAGAGTCAGTTAAATTTTCAACTTCTACAAAGTAAATGATTTCAGTGGAGGTTTCTTCACAATTTTACATGAATAAATGCAAGACATTTTCATCACAATGCATGTAGTTATTCTGACATCCAGGTGTCATGAATTAGCTTTTAAAAGGAGGAAGCTCTGACACATAGATGATCATGCTAGAATCCCATAAAAATTCAGTAACATTCATAATTCATATTACATAAATTGCTGTGCCATTAAATGTTAATACATTTTATGCATGTTCTTTGGGTGTGCATGTATTAAAAGAGGGAGGGAAGGAGATGGGGAGAGGGAGGGATGGAGGCGGGGGAGAAAGAGGGAGGAAAAAGGAGAGAGAGAAAAGTTTCTTCACCAAGATAATTGTATTGAAATAAAGCTATTTACCCTTTTTATTTTTACTTTTTTGCAAACCAATCCTTCTCATTTTTTCCTCTCATGGCTTTCAATTCATTACTCGAGTTTAGCTACAGAGGATTCCTAAACTTTCAAAAATAACTGCCATTGGTGATCTTTAGATCTTAAAGTTACTCATATTTAGTTGTTAAAAAGCACCATGTATGTACACAGTTGTAAGTTACCTGAGAATGTTGTGTAGATATATTTACTGAGTTTCTCTATGGAGGAGACAAATTCTCTCATTCACATAGATGAAGGTATTTTAAATAATAGTTATGAAGATTATAATTCTTTGGTTCTCTGATGAGGAGTGAATATTCTAGTTTGGATTGTTAAGTGCCTGAAATTCATTGGCTAGTTCTCATGGGAGCATGTTCCTACAGGATAATTAAGATTGCTCTGTGACTCTACAGTGATGTCATACATGACTTTTAGGACTCACACCTCGTATAAAATATTAAGTAAACAGAAATTTATAAAGCTAGTTTTTTTCTTGCCTCACGGTATTCTGTCCTGAATGTTATCAACCAGTTTGTCCTTTGCAAGTTTCTATACTTTGCCCTTTTATCAGCTTTGATGAGACTTCCTTAGAGGAAACTCCTCTGACCTTGGAGACTTGTGCAGTTGCCTCGAGTTTCCACTCTCCGGGTACCTGCTTTTCTCACTAGTAGTACTTTGGTCATCACAAGTATAGCATAATTGTTACCTCTGTAACTCTTTTACTATGTTTCCCCTGGCACATAGCCCCAGTACTATGCAACATTCATGTAATTTTCTTGAGAAAATAGAAACCCATAGTAACAGAGAAAGATTAAATAGTGTGAAACATGTTAAAATCGGATACTTAGTTTCTTTTGCAGCTAGAAAGTTTTAGAATTTTAGACAGGCATGTCTGCATTCAGACTCTTGAACCAAGATGTGTTTATGGCACTAGATCCCAGTTTGTTGGGTTATCCAGTCACGGTACGCTGTCACTCGAGTGTACACTCCTGGCTTGTCTGGCAGACCACACTGATACCCCCAGCTTACTATCCCCACGATGAACCAGTGTTGCCGTGAGTCTTCTTGTACTAGAGGGCCTCCAGAGTCACCCTGAAGGAAATAGAATGATGGACTATTTAAGCGTGAAGACAACCCCAAAGTATGAAGAAGTTGATATCTATGATAGTAGAAATCACATACATAATGACAGTAAAGTTAGTCTTACATTTCCTGCTGAAATACTGTATACTAAGTCATGCAAAAATTAAAAAAATCCTCCAAGTATGCACGTTGTTCCTTCAGCAAGTGTGAGAAGAGAAGAAGCACATCTCCTAGACTTCACCAGCCTGCTACCCCGACCAGGCTCCCCTCCTTCAGGAGGTTACCCCTGACTTCCACCTTTCCTCCCCAGTGTCACCCCTTCTAGCTTTGGGCTAGATTATTTATTACTGCCGGTGCTCCCACACCCTGTGTATCTCTCCTTCATTGCTACTTCATTATTTTATACAAGCCCTAACCCTAGCCCTAGCCATTTGCATGCCTTTTGAATTTATTCCCCCTGAGTCAGCTCCCCCCGTTGTAGCAATTACACATCTCTGCAACCCTCATTGCATTTATGATACTTGTTCAGTGTCTATTTTTCAGGCTATACTGTTAAGGTTCATCAGGGAAGGGGTCATACATGTTCTGGACACTGCTATACTCTAAGCTTCTAACGCAAAGGAGATGCTAAGAAAATATTTATTGAATGAACATGTTTTTAGAAATCTCCTTTATCTTCCTATTCATAGCATAATGCAAAGTGTTTCATGTATAGTATTGATATATCAAAAATATCTTTTTTGGTGAATAATAGAAAAGAAATTTATATGGCAATGAGTAAAGCATTCCTTATGAAATGTTTATGAGCTGCTTATAATATTGATAATAAACCAACCAACTAAATATTTGTACATGTAATAGTCCATATGGAGAGAAAAATTGGTATCTCTTCCATGTTGCATGATGGGTTAAGTCTGAGGTTCTTGAATTGGTCTAGGTTTTAATCCTCTACTTAATAACTATATCATTTCCAGTAAGCCACATAACAGCCCTCTGTATTTCAGCTTCTTCCTCTGTAAATAATAATTTTATGTGTTTAATAGAGTTTAACACACCTAGCACTCTGAGTGCATCCTGCTAAATGGTCAGTACTAATAAAAGTCAGCTATTATTACCAAGTATGCTTCTAGAATAGTTTGGTATTCATTTGACTGCTCTTGGTAGTTAGTTCTTCCATGCGTGCTTAATCACTGCCTTATATGGGGAGAAGGGTTTAGTGTCTGAATCACCAGCTTGCATGACAAGCCCTGTGTGGAGCTGACTGGCTCCTGGCTCCTTTAGATAATGCATATGTGCTCCAGTTTGCCAGTTCTCAGCACTTTCCCATCACTGTGTTTTGCTGATATTTCTTCTATAGTAAGAGATTTCTCTGCAAAACATGTTACCAAGAGAGGGCAAGCAAATATTAAACTAAGAGGACTTAGTTTAATAGATGCAATGTTTCCTATATTTGGCCAGCTCTACCACCTCACTGAACAGACATTTAGGCCTGTGTTTTCTCTTCTAGACCATAGACCTGCTGAGCTCAAGTGATGTCTAAGTACAAAGTCTGGCACATAGAAATTAAGTGATGCAATTAAAAAAAACAGAATGAATGAACAAAAACAAATAGGATCTCATAAATTCTTGTGTAAAGTGCTATTTTGAGACATAAACTCTAGGTATTATAGTATTTTAGCTGAAAATCAGTGAGGCCCAGAGTGGAACATGCAGGAAAATTTCATATAAGAATCTGTAAAATCTGGACATTTAGGGTGAAATTATGTTGTAGCTCAGATGGTAAAGAATCTGCCTTCAGTGCAGGAGACATGGGTTCGATCCCTGTGTCAGGAAGATCCCTTAGAGAAGGGAATGGCAATCCACTCCAGCATTCTTGCCTGGAGAATTCCATGGACAAAAGGAGCCTGGCTGGCTACACAGTCCATGGGGTCACAAAGAGCTGCACACGACTGAGCAACTAACACTACTACTACTTCTGTGCCCATCATGGCAAGACGCTAGGAAGTGCTTATAAACTTGACCGATGACATGGATAAGGCTGTCTTGACTTACCTGGCACGCGTCCACTCCGCCTTGAGGTACTCCAGCACATAGCATTCCAGATAGGACGGCTCCATTATAACCAGCTGGTGCGTTACATATATTATTACTTATTATATTGACCTGTGCTTGTTCTAGTTCTGGAACTGTGCTGCCTGTTATGTATAAAGGGAGGGAGAAAATGGACTTCAGGGTAGATGAATTAATGATGCTATGGTGAATATAGAAAAGAATATTTGTACTCCAAATATATCTCTTATTCAGCGAAAAGGCTATTGAAGATGTCCTAGGAGTTTTTTCCATAGCAATGATTTCTGCATTAGAGACAGATAACCCCTTTACATACATCAGTATCTTTGTTTTGTCTGTTTTATTTTAGCTTTGTGATATAGTGCCCCTTAGACCTTAAGGGAAAAGCATCTGCCTCCTTAAAATACATTAGTAGAATCTGAAATATCCATTGAGTGACTCTGAATTAGAAAATTACATGTTGAGTAACCTTTAATCTAGTAACAAAAGAGTAACCAATCTGGTTTCAAGGCTAAAGAATAAATTTATTCATATTGATGTTCCTTCACAATGGCATTGCCATTTTTTCTTATTGGCACAAATTTTATCTATTATATACCAAATTACTTTGGGCCATGAAAATACAATGAACTTTATTTTTTAGGACAACAAGGCTTTTGTTTTATTCCTTGCAGAGATGGTCTACAACATGGGTAGAAACATGCACATTTTGTTAATTCTGCCCTTCCACTCCCTAGCTGATACTCTTGTTTTCCCCTTGGTCATATTTGCTCTTTCATGTCATCCTTATTTTTTATCTGATTTTATTCACTTCAAAAACAAGTGTGAAAAACACTTGTGTGCACACAGAATTTCTTGCTGTAAAGGCAGAACTTTATTTCATTTCAGAATAACTTAAATGGCTGGCAATACCTTAAAGGTTGTTAAAACCCTTAGAGGATACCTATCCAAATTCTATCTTAAATTTTTAAAACTTTCTTTTTAGGGGAGCCACTTGAGTTCTTATAGAGTCTCTGGATCATTGAAGAGCTCATATTTCTTTGTCACTTCCTTTCACATTTCCCTATTACTATATTTGAGAATTCCCTGTAGCTTCTAGGGATAGCACTTTTCTTTGGTGAGGGAAGTCTTGTTAGAGCTTAGGATGATCAAACTGTAGGATGGTTCTCTCTGTAGAACCTGCCTTTTAGGTGTCCCTTGATTAGAAAAAAATGCACAGGGGCAAGTACCAGGAGATATTGCTGTTGTCTTTATTCTTCCTGAGATACTCACCGCTATAACTCTGAGATCCCCATCCTGTTACATAAGCGGTGGAGCCGGGTGAAATGGCCTGGTTGGCCTCTGGGAGACACACTCTATGAATATATCTGGTATAAGTGACTTCTCTATCAAGTTGTACAAGTGCAATATCGTTTTCATGAGTTTCAGGGTTATAATTCTCATGGATTAAAATTCTCGTTACTCCTACTCTCTGTTGAGGAGATTTTGTGGAAGTACCAAAGGTGGCTATCCATTGACGAGGCTCAGAGTAGCTAAAAAATATGAAGACATGCTCTTTGAATAGAGAACTTGTGAGAATTTCAAATGATGGGATTTTTTCATTTGTCATCCAGCCCAGTCCCCACCCCCCCCATCCCCAATCTAGGAACTATTTGATCGACATTTCTTTGGGATCTATTTCTATAACTCTTTACTGGCACAATGATCATTGGTCTAAAGAAACATAGAAATGCTTTAGCAAACATATCCTGGGGTGATGAACATCCTGGTGTTCTGTTATTCCAATGAGGATATCCTGATACTTTGATGAACACTAGTATAGCAAAGCTTTGCTTTGCTTTCTCCCTTTTCTACATCCTTCCATTCAAGCAACCAAGAAGTCTGAAACAATGTTCACTTTAGTTTTAACTGATTCCTTGTGTTATCTTTTTCCTTTCCTTTAGGCAGCAGCTCCATTTAAATAGTAGTACTGAAAGAGCTCCTTGCCTTATCAGTGGATAAATGATTTTTCTGTACTAAATATGTTGCTTGTTGAAGATTTTGGTGCATATGTTTGTGTGTATGAATACAGAGAGAGACAGAGCACTAATATATACAAAATGTAAGGCATTATCTTTAAGATCTAGGAACAGGGACTTTTTGCCAAACTCCCAAAATACGAACTGAACAGTTAAGAAGAAGGAATTTCATGAAATCAATATGAAGTATGCCATACACAGAGTGCAAACTAATGGTTACCAGGGGAGAAGGAGGGGAAGGCGCAAGATAGGGCAGGGGATTAAGAGCTGTAAACTGTTAGGTATAAGATAAATAAACTATAAGGATATATTGTACAACACAGGGAATGTAGCCAATATTTTATAATGAATGGAGTATAACCTTTAAAACCTTACTATGTTGTGCACCTATAACTCATATAATATTGTACATCATCTATACTTCAATAAAAAGGTCTGTAACATTAAAAAAGCAAATCAATTAAAAGTTATGTAAAACTAAAAACAAAATTAACTGCACCATGGGCATATTTATCAGATGAATGAAAAACCATGAGAAAATACTTGCAGTGTTTAACATCTAAAATTTGTGTAGAAAAAACAGAATTCTATGAACCAACGAGAACCATTATAAAATGATCAAAAAATATTAATAGGCATTTATGGGAGGAGAAGCCCAAACAGCCAGTAGACATGAAAAATACTCAGACTCACTAGTAAGTGGAGAAGTGGAAATTATAACAGTAATGAGCATCTAATTTATGTTCATAAGAATGGAAAAAAATTGAAAAAGAATAATATTGTGTTGGTGAGGAAGAAGTTCAAACTCTTTTGCATTAAATGTAAGGATACAAAATTCTGGAAAGCACTGCAGTGTATTTAGCACACTGTATATACACTTCTGGGTACATGTGTCAGAGAAATTCTTCGACGTTTATTTGTTGTTGTCCAGTCTCTCAGTCATGTCTGACTCTTTGGGACTCCATGAACTGCAGCATGCCAGGCTTCCCTGTCCTTCGCTATCTCTTGGAGTTTGCTCAAACTCATGTCCACTGAGTCGGTGATGCCATCCAACCATCTCATGCTCTGTCGTCCCCCTCTTCTTCTGCATTCAGTCTTTGCCAGCATCAGGGTCTTTTCCAGTGAGTCGGCTCTTTGCATCAGGTGGCCGACGTATTGGGGAGCTTCAGCTTCAGCGTCAGTCCTTCCAGTGAAAATCCAGGGTTGATTTCCTTTAGGATTGACTGGTGTGATCTCCTTGCAGTCCAAGGGACTCTCAAGAGTCCTCTCCAACACCACAGTTTGAAAGCATCAATACTTTGGCACTCAGTCTTCCTTATAGTCCAACTCTCACATCCATACATGACTACTGGAAAAACCAGAGTTTTGACTATATGGACCTTTGTTGGCAAAGTGATGTCTTTGCTTTTTAATATGCTGTCTAGGTTGGTCATAGCTTTTCTTTTCAAGGAGCAAGTGTCTTTTAATTTCATTGCTGCAGTCACCATCTGCAGTGATGTGATGAAAGTTTATAGAGAGGCACATATGCAGGCATGAGAAAAAGTTCTGTGTGCTGCAATCTGGGGCTGTAGGAAGTTGGTGCAGCCTAGCTGGATGAAAGGATATGGTGGATGCAGTTGGGGACCAGATTAAAATTGCCAGGGTTGAGCAAAAACATTAAGGAACAATATGAGACTTATACACAGTGTTACTCATATAAATTGAAGAAGCACACACACAAACTAAAGGTTTTACAGGTAACTGCATATTTAAAGACACATGTCAAGTATTTGGGGGAGGCCTACGGGGGCAGGGAAGGCAATAGAATTGGAATTCAAGTATGATGGGAGAAAAATAAAATGAGAGAAAAGTCTTATACAAACTGATGAAAATAAGGTTCTGTGAATTGGAAGCTGATAATTTCAACATGCTCTTAAGGTTGACTAAAAACAAAATGTAACCAAATAGTTTGAGAGTTTTGTGGAGTTTTGATAGTGGACTTATATGAAAAATAGAGATTATATATATTATCCAGGAGATACTTTTATCAGGTATAGCAGTTTGCAAAAGAGTAAGTGCTAGTTAGAAATTCTAAAGAAAAAATATTTGACAACAAGCAAATACATGGATTTTTTTACACTAAACTTCTTTTACTTGGGTCGTTTTAGTGAAGATGCTAAAAGGCACTCTTCTTCTCTGTCTGCCTCTCTCCCACCCTTCTTTTCCTTTCAGCAAGTTTTAGAACCAGATGAATTTATATATGAAACTTACCTGTGCTGCACATTGGCAGTGTTATTCTGGGCAAGTTACTTAATGTCTCTAGTACTATGTGATTGATGCATACCCTCTAACACAGATGTAAGTATTCACTGAGACAAATAGGGCATGCTAAGACGGATAGGGCACTGCAGTCTTACCTTCTGAAGCAGTGAGCTGCTGACAGGATCCACCTGTTACTGATCAAGGCTCCTCCGCAGCGGTGAGAGCTGCTCCACTGGAGGCTGACTTGCCAAGGCCAGTCTCCTTCCTTAGCTTTACTGCCTCCCATGATTCTCTCCTCAGACAAGGTTATCAGGCCCGAGCGGACCCCACATTCTAATGGGGAAGGGAAGTAATGTGCTAGGAAGATCATGACGCTTACATCTGGGAGATGCTCTAAGAGTTTCACCATAACTTATGACTTTTATGTCTTCTATGTATTCTTTCTCAGGACATGCTAGGCTTTCCAAAAGCATGATCAATATGTTATACTTTTAGAGTACTTATCTGACTGTTACCTATAGACTTCATTTTAGAGAACATTGCTGAACTTGGTTGTCATGGAGCCTTCAAACTGTGGAGCAGATTCAGAGTTCTATGGAATTTGTCATAAGTGGGAGTTAAGGTTGGTCAGTGCTAGAGGAACTAGCTGAGGCCACAGGTTCCCTGGGGAATATCCATCTTCTCAATAACCTTGCTACTCAAAGTGTGGTCTGTGGACCTGCAACATGAGTGTCCCCAAAGAGCTTGATAGAAATGTTGACTCTGTGTGGAAACAACCTACGTGATTATCAGTAGATGTGTGGATTAAGAAATAGTGGTATATATGCACATAGAAACATGTACACACATTGGAATGTTTTCCAGCCTTAAAAAGGAAGGAAATCCTGTCACTTCCAACAACATGGATGAAACTTCAGGGTATTATCCTAAGGAAATAAGCCAGACAAAGGCAAATACTGCATGGTATCACTTCTATGTGGAAATAAAAAAAAAGTCAAACTCCTAGAAACAGTAGAAAGTGGTTGCCAGGGTTCAGGGGAAATAGGAAGAGTTTTATTAAAGGATATAAGCTTTCAGATATAAGCTGAATAAGGTCTGAGAATCAAATGTATAACATTATGACTATGTCTGACAGCACTGTATTATATAATTGAAATTTGCTAGAGAGTAGAACTTAAGTGTTCTTGCCAAAAAAAATGGAGGGAGGTAATACATACATGAGGTGATGAATGTGTTAATTAGCTAGATGAGGGAACTCTTTTTGTAGTATATACATATATCAAATCATGACATTGTACACTTTAAATATATTACAATTTTATTTGTCAGCTGTACCACATTAAAGATGAACAACAACAAAAAGAAATGTTGACTGTCAGACTCACATTAGGGAACAAATAAAAAATTGCATTTTTCTTCCAACTTTACTAAGGAATTGACAAATAAAATTGTATATATTTAAAGTGTACAGTGTCATGATATGATATACAAATACACTGCAGAATGATTACCAAGTTCAAGATAATTAACACATCTAACACCTCACACATGGATGCATGGGCATGTCAGTTAGTCGTGTCCAACTCTTTGAGACCCCATGAACTGTAGCCTGCCAGACTCCTCTGTCCATGGGATTCTCCAGGCAAGAACACTGGTGTAGGTTGTCATTTCCTCCTCTAGGGGATCTTCCTGACCCAGGGATTGAACCCAGGTCTCCTGCATCTTTGCATTGGCAGGTGGATTCTTTATCACTGAGTCACTTGGGAAGCCCACAATACCTAACACAGTTAACTTATTTTTGTGTGTATATTTTTTTATTTTTTGTGTGTATGTTTGATGAGAATACTTATGACCTACTCTCAGCAGCTTTCAAATGTATAATATCATATTACTAACTAGAGTCACCAAGTCATACATTAGGTTCCCAGAACTTCTGAGCAGCTGCATTTAACAAGTGATTCATGTGCATAGTGATGTTAGAGGGAACCTGCTCTTATCATGAAGACTGTAGTGGTAATACAGTTCACCGCGGACGAACCAGTTCACATCCATAACTGACTCTGTCTTACCAAATGGGCCCTAGAAAAGGAATTACTTTAGGTCCACAGAATATTCTTGAGGGTGATTGAGGGTTTTTAAGTACCTAGATTAGGTTTATTTAAACGTCTTAAGAAAGTCCATGACACTCCAGTGGCCAGAGCTGAAATGTGCTGGAGTGGGCTTGATCACTCAATTTCTAATTTCATGGTTTATTTCCTCTTGGTTAGTATGTTACTAAGAAATTAGAGGTAAATCACCATGAAAAATTTCTGTTGCTGAACCAGCTCTAAAGTAAGTGATATTACTTCAATAGGATGCCATCCAAAGGTATTTATTTTCTAACAGATCTCCCAGATGGAGGAGGAATAGACTTCTATTAAGAATATAAATGGCATATAGGTTCCTTTGCTGCATACTCCAAGGAAGTTCTCTAGTAAATTATTTTGTCCATGGGATTCTCCAGTCAAGAATACTGGAGTGGATTGCCATTCCCTTCTCCAGGAGATCTTCTCGACCCAGGGATCGAACCTGAATCTCCCAGTTGCAAGCAGATTCTTTACCATCTGAGCCACCAGGGAAGGCCCTAGTAAATTATTTAAGCACATTCTAATAAAAAAGAAGCATTAATTGTTAAATACACGTGAAGTTGAAAAACACCCATAGAGGAAGTATTAACTTATAATATCACTTAAGTATCTGAGATAGGCCAGCTATCAAGATATATTAAACTAATTTCTAACTACATGTTATCAGCCCCAAGGAGCAAACTACTCTTTTCTAGGGGTTATATGTCTGCTATCCAATCCTGAGAGTATATATAATTACATTGTAAAGTCCTGACTTTTATGTTATGTTATAGACATAAAACTGATAATGCTTTTTGCAATTTTTAAAATTATACTTTATGATTAACTTAAATCTATCACAAAGCAAACTATTCTGGTAGTTAGGAAAAGCTATATAAATGGGGCAGCCAAACATAATTTGCAAGTCTGCTAAAATGCTACCATAGAATCAGGTTTGGAGAAACTACCCAAAGCTACTGAGAAAACTTTAATGAGACCAAACTTGATACAGAGTGGGTGGAATGTCACCGATATTTCTTCCTCCTTCTAAAAATAGGGGAAAACCGGACCGTCACTTCATAGCCCAGTGAGGTCAGCAGTGTCTAATCTCAACAACAACCTACATGAATAAACTAAGAAAATCATCTCAATAGATACTTCCTTGGCAAAGAGTACAAATCACTTGAACATTTACTCTTGTTATTTTGGTAAACCACATTTACAAAGTAATTTAAAATCTTACCTCGAGTGAACAATTGTACTGTATCCTGGCCAGTTATTGCTAGTGTTAAAAAAAAGGAGGAGTCAGATCAATACAAAAAAGACTGTATATCATTTCACATTAATCTCTTAAAGTGTAGTCCTCAGATAACCATAATCAGAATCATTTGTAGGACTGCTAAATTTAGATTCCTAGGCTCCACCCCAGACCTGCTGAGAGAATCTGAGTCACAGGCTGCAAAAAACTGCATTTATTTTATTGCCCCAATTTGTCATTAATCACACTAAAGTTTGTGCATTAACTTCTCATCAAACAGTTAAAAGATATTTAAAAGATATTTCTGTTCTCAAGTCACTTAGTTTACTTGGGAAAACAGAAACATAGTCATTGAGATACAAAGGGATAAATTCTCTAAGAGAAATTAATTTTTCACTTATTCTAATATATATATATATATATACACATATAACTATATCTGTATTCCTTGACTGATATTATTTGTGGTACTGCAGGTATAACAAAACATAGGGGGTTTGCTCTCACATAATTTATAGAAAGAAATTAATTAAGGAATCATTCAAATAAATTTAAATGCAAAGTAGAGAGGAGAAAGGAGAGCGTTACTAATGCTGTCTGATTCACGGATGTTATGATGGTGAAAATAATATTTGAATTGTATTTTGAATACCTAAAATCAATTTTTCAGGCAGCCAAGAGGTGAAAGGCATTCCAGGTGAAAGGTATAGTGGCACAAATGCATGAAGATAGAAGATGTTTGTGGAGCAATGAAGTCAGTAGAGATAATACAAATTTTTCATGTAGGAAAGTGATGGGAGAGCACAGAAAGAAACTATGTTGGTGCCAGACACTGAAGGCCTATCTATTCCAGTTCAATTTCTGCTTACAGAGCTGTTTCCTCTGAATGTCCTACAGCCATCTCAAACTCAGTGTCACCAAATTTTAGCCCCAATTTGTTACTTCCCTGGTGGCTCAGATGATAAATAATCTGCCTGCAATGCAAGAGACCTAGGTTCGATCCCTGGATTGGAAAGATCCCCTGGAGAAGAGAATGACAACCCACTCTGATATCCTTGCCTGGAAAATCCCATGGACAGAAGAGCCCAGTGGGCTATGGTCCATGAGGTCTCAAAGAGTTGCACACGACTGAGCCACTAACACACACACACACACACACACTTAGTAAATGACATCACTTCCACCAATAGCTAGAAATCTGAAACGGTCTCTAACTCCTTTCTCACTATTTCTCACATCTTATTGGCTTCCGGATTTTGTACCTTCTAGCATCTAACTACCCTTTGAATTAGCCCCATCTTTCCCATCCCTTTAGCTACTACTTGAGTACATGCTTTCATCATTCGACACCTGTATTTTCTTTTTTGACACCTTTACTTTTAACAATAGCCTTCATCCTGTCTATATGCCCTGGACAATTATCTATCTTTTCTGAGTGGGGACAATAGAAGGATCTACAGTATGTGGTTGTTGTGGGAATGAAACAAACTTGATATGCATCAGCAAGTCAGGCAGTACCCAACCACCCACAGAGCCGGAGCAGTGTCTTAGAGGTCCTTGCTGTGTTAAGCATCAACTCTGTAGTTTCAGGGTCAGGAGCTGGGAGTCCAGGATAGAGACAGGAGAATTTGGAGGGGTTAGGGAGGCAACTTTGTGGGCCTGGTGTAGTGGTTATTTGCCAACAGATAGGAAGGAATTTCATTCTTTTAACCACTGGCAAAATTATAACAAGTGTATGTTGATTAACTACTAGTCCAATGTGGGAGTCACCAAAACCCCTTAATCTGGAGCTTATTAGGAGGTGAATCATGGTTTCATAAGATAGTAGTACATGACAAAGTTGGAGGAGTGTCTACACATGAATTGAGTAATTTCTTTTTTAAAAGTTATGTGACAAATATTAATAGAGTACTTATTATGTACTAGATACTGAGTAAGAGAAGTAAGGAGGATTAAAAAGGCAGACTGGTTCTTGCCTTCAGAACTTAGAGTAGGATGAAGACACTACAGACTCATGGAAAGAAGTTTGTAGTTTCGATTATGATAAATGCTGTGAAGGAAAATGAAGATGTCGGTGACAATTTAGTAGTGGAAGTCAGAAAAGGCTTAGGTTAGAAAGAAATGATCCAGATGATAACTTCACAGATGCAAGGGAGTGATCTAGCAAGTGTTATAAGAAACTGGACCAATGTATGCAAAGGCTTGGGGCAGGAAGGAGAGAATCTTTGCAGATGGAGAAAGTAAAGGTGTGGCCAGATTGTGGTAAATGAGGAAGAGAATAGCGTAATAAATGGCTGCAGGGGGAAGCATGAATGAGATCATACAGTGCTTTAGATGAGATCACCATATCATTTACTGTCCAAATCAAAACATGTAAAGGGTAATATTCATAATAGTTCTTAGACAATTGACATGGTCCCCATTACTGTCCTGAGTAAACCAGGAAATATGGTATTCTGCTTACAGGTGGCATTTTTGTTTCATTTTGTGGGAATACGTGGGGACTTTTAAGCAAGATTGTATTTATATTTTAAAATATTTCCTTATCAATATGCGGACAATACATTGGAAGGGCTGTGAAAGTAAAGAAGGAGTATAGTTTGGAGGCTAGTACAATAGTTCAAGTAAGAAATGATGTTGGCTTAGACCACAGTGATCACAATAGGGATGGAAAGCAGTGGAACTAGAATTCCATTCCAGGCAGAAGTTGTGTGGATTTTCAGAGAGGAGATAGATATAGTGTTAAATCTTCTAATTTCTTTATTTATTCTACAAGTATTTACCAGACACCTTCCAATTATATACTCTTTTCTCAGTGAGGTGATCCTAAATTAAACTGTTCTCTGACCTTGAACAGCTATTTACCATTCTTATAACATACCTACCAATTGAACATCTGACAGCAGGGTCCCTCATAAAGAGTATTGACGGGAAAAATAATAAAGAATTTTTAGCAAATAAAAGTTATGAAATGCATATGATTCTTTGAAACATCAGAATATTTTATATTAGAGAACTATGTATTACATTTAACTTCATAGTAAGTTGTTTTCACAAAATTTAATTCAGGAAAAAAAAGTCCCTCATTAAATAAAAACATGAATTAGAACTTGTAGAGAGATAAACTGGTATGAAATGGTATGTAAAAAAATAATACTTGCTTATTAACTGAGTTGGAGTTATTTCGAAGTCTTCAGAGTTATTCGGCATTTGGTGTAAAATAGACTCAATTCTCCTTTTCATTGATGCTTCATTGTTTCTTCTGGTGAATGTAAATTTCATGACAATATCTGCTATCAGGTCATTTCCACTTTGCCTGAATAGCCATAAAAATATTTTAAGTGTACAATTATGATAATTTTCTGTTCTTTTTACATCTTCTTCTTGATTAAGCATTTAAAAAATTACTTAAGAAATTTAACAATCGATGGCTAACAAACACATGAAAAGATGCTCAACATCACTCATTATCAGAGAAATGCTAATCAAAACCACAATGAGGTACCATTACACGCCAGTCATGATGGCTGCTATCCAAAAGTCTACAAGCAATAAACGCTGGAGAGGGTGTGGAGAAAAGGGAACCCTCTTCCACTGTTGGTGGGAATGCAAACTAGTACAGCTGCTATGGAGAACCGTGTGGAGATTTCTTAAAAAACTGGAAATAGAACTGCCATATGACCCAGAAATCCCACTCCTGGGCATACACACTGAGGAAACCGGATCTGAAAGACACACGTGCACCCCAGTGTTCATTGCAGCACTGTTCTTTGGAAGGACTGATGCTGAAGCTGAAACTCCAATACTTTGGCCAGCTGATGCGAAGAACTAACTCACTGGAAAAGACCCTGATGCTGGGAAAGATTGAAGGCAGGAGGAGAAGGGGATGACAGAGGATGAGACATGAATTTGGGTAAACTCCGGGAGTTGCTGATGGACAGGGAGGCCTGCGTGCTGCGGTTCATGGGGTCGCAAAGAGTCGGACACGACTGAATGACTGAACTGAACTGAACTGATGTTGTTCTTTACTCACCAGTCCCACTAGGCTGCTTTCAGTTTTTCACTCTTTTTAACCTCAAAAACTTCATATATAAGCTATTCCTTCTGCCTGAAATACACATAAACGCACTCACACCACTTTTCCCCCTTCCTCTTCTGTTTAAAATATACTGTTTCAGATGTACATATATGCACATACAATGTTATAAGTACAGACATAATATATGTTTATATATCATAGGGGTAAGGAGTGGCAGTTAGAAGAACTTTAAGCAAATACTGTGTTTAGCTTTATCATTTCAAAAAAATCTGACTGGCTGCTATGTGAAATGTGGAATGGAGAAAGACTCGAGGAGAGGAGATTCGTCAGGAGGTGGTGCAAGTCCAGAGGAGAGATGACTGAGGACACAGTGTTTGAAGTTATGGATCTTAAACATTGTAAGAAACAGATCTGTGAAGGTTAGATGATTGGGTGTATGGGTTGAGGGCGAAACAGGAATTAAAGATAACTCTCATATTTCTTTCTTGAGCAACTAGGTTGAAGGTGACACCACTGACAGAGGTAGGCAACACTAAATGAGTCACATATTTGATTGGGGACAGAGGATAGGTTCAGGTCTGGATGTATTAACGTTGTGTTATCTGCAAGATAGCCATATTACGATATCAAGTAGATGGCCGTATATGTTCACATCTAGAGAGGAGAAAAGAGGCCTGGCCCCAGAGATACAACTTTGATAATAATTAGCATATAGAGGGCAGTTCAGTTCAGTTCAGTCACTCAGTCGTGTCCGACTCTTTGCGACCCCATGGACTGGACTGCAGCACCCCAGACCTCCCTGTCTGTCACCAGCTCCTGGAGTTTACTCAAACTCATGTCCGTTCAGTTGGTGATGCCATCCAACCATCTCATCCCCCTTCTCCTCCTGCCTTCAGTCTTTCCCAGGATAGTGGGCAGGGAAGCCTCTAAAAGGAGCTTCAGTGTGATGAGAGGCTTACTGCACAGTCAGACATTTGAGGAATGTAAAAAGAAAGAGTAAGAGCTAACATAAAACTGAGAAGTAAAAGGAAAATCAGAGTGTAGAGGGTCATGGAAACCAAGGGATGGCACTGTTTCAAAAAAGAATAAAAACAGTGCTAAGTTCTCCCATCCATGTCAGTTGAGAGGTTCAAGAAGAGGACTGATATGATTTTTTTTGGAAATTTGTGATTCAAATGTCATTGTTGAACTTGGGAAGAACAACTAGTATTTTGTGGTGAGATCAGAAGCCAGAGGGCAGTGGATTGAGCAGTAAGTGGGAAGTGAACAAAAGGAAAAAAAATACAAATTCAGTTCTACAAGTATTGCCAGCTAGTGGCTAGTACAGAGACTTGCTCAAGAAAGTACTAAGGTGAATGTGCACTGAACTGACTGAAATACATTTTGAAACAAACTCTTCCCATGAATTCTTCTTACTTCTCGGGCTCCTCAGCAAAACTTAAAAGACCAGAGCGCCATGCTTGTATTTAGCTAGGTGACTCTATCAAGAATAAGAAAAATTAATCTTTTTGTGGTGTTAGTCTTTGAGAAAGAATTAGTATAATTTCTCTTTCTTCTGAAGAATTTTTTTACATTATTTGAAGGACTGAGCAGTGGGGACATTTGAGACATTTGTGGTAGGGCCAGTCACTTTTACTTTCACTTCAGTAAAGGTAACTATTTTAGTTAGGAGAGATATCACATCACATCACATCACAAGAATAGGTCTGTATTCCATTCAGGTAGGAATGGAAAATAATAAATATGCATGCTGCTACTTCCCCTATTAACTGATTCATTGCAGACATGTCTGTATCTGGCCACAGCATCCTTTAAAACATTCCAGGGAGACAAAGACTGAAAAGCCACTTTTGATGTTGGTTTAGCATTCCGATCTTGGGTGAATATGCCCAGGATCTCAGCATTGCACATCTCCACAAGGCACTGTTTACACAGACTGCATTGTGAATCGTATCCCCTGAATTTACAAATAGCCTTCTTACTGTACCGTCATCCAACTGCCTTCCTTTTCCCATGAAGAACTGAAGTAACAGTCATTCACATTACTAGATATATAGACCATATGTGATAATTTGACATTGTTTTTTAAGCTGCCCGTGATACTATTTTCATGATATTGCAACACATTGTATGAATGTCTCTTTCATTATCTATGCTATGAACAAAGTCTAATGAAGCAAATTGTATCTAGGCTTATATATATTGTAGTTCCACTTACCTCAGTTTGACGACATGAGCTTTGATGAACTGATTTTTTAAATCTGACTCTTTGAATGTTCTAGTAATCTGTAGAAAGGGGAAAAAAACACCTTGTAATTACAGTTCTTTCTCTCCTTCCTCTTTCCAACACTGAAACATGGGACTATGTTAATGAGGAATATAGACTAGAGTTTTTTTAGTTCAATTCCACTTCAGAACATCTGGGATAGATTTAGACAGGCTAAAAACCTTCTGAAGCAGTGTCTGTTCTTCATCTATTACACAAAGATCATAATGGACAGGATGCATCTTCACTAGAAGCCATTCTAAACACATCAGACACTTTGCTCAATGAGAGCCCGTGTTATGTGATTTTGTGGCTGTTCCTAAAGAGGTTGGGGCATGAGCCAGCCCAACACTATACAACTTACACTGTGATCCTGCAACAACTGTTCTTAAATAGGTTAAAACCAGACTAAAATGAGTAGAAAGGGAGAGTCTGATGAAAAGGAGGAAGAGAAATAAAGGACAGTCTTTTCCTTATTGTTTCTGATTAATGTCTAAACATCTTAAGTTATTTTTAACGTCAGTTGTTATTTCCTGACCTAACTTTAACCTTCCCCCTGAATCATTGCTCAGTGCCAGCAAGGATGGCTCTCTTGAGGTATAAAGTTTAGCTTCACAGAGAACTAGAGAAGTAGTGATTCTGTGACTGGAAGAGTTCTACCAAGATGCAGGGTGAGATGTACTAAGCCATCATATTGTGGAGTGGATTCTGTTGGCTAGTACTGTGAGGTTGGACTAAGGTTGAGGTGAACGTGAAGAAGTTCAAATGGGGAAATTAAGTAGCATGCTGTATATTATATTAAGCCAGGATTTGAAGTCAATTCTCGAGACTGTAAAGTTTACATAATCTCTGTCACACCATATTATATCTTATTTTTTCAATATCCATTTCTTTAGGCTGATATTGGACCAACCAGTTGTTAGAAAATATGATAACTTTTTTTTCTTTCTAGAAGTCTTGAACATTTTTAAGAATTATAAGGCTTTTAGTTTTATCAAAATAATTTCCTTTTTTAAAAATTCAAGAAGTACTAGTAAGTGTTAAGAAGAAAGCAAAAAGTCACTCAAAATTCTATGATCGAGAATTATAGGATGCTACCATTTGGCCAGCCATATTCTAGTTAACTTTGTAGAAGGATGGGTTTTAATGTGTTTGTTTACATGGTGTATTGTAGGAGGAGGTTTAGTAAACTGATTTAAGGTTAATATTACTTGACTTTGACAGAAGTAGAAAGAACTGACCTAAAACTGAAGGAATTGCTAAAATTTAAGTAAATGTTTCTTGTAACTATATTTCATGATTTAGTATTGTACCAGCACAGGTTAGACTTGATCAAAGGGTTAAAAATCCACTATAATTGTTACATTTTGCTATGTGGAAAATATTGAGGTAATTTAGTGAAGATAATAAGCAACATAAAGAAAGTTGATTAATTGGCAGATATCCATCAGCTCAGTTCAGTTCATTCGCTCAGTTGTGTCGAACTCTTTGTGACCCCATGAATCGCAACACGCCAGGCCTCCCTGTCCATCACCAACTCCGGAGTTTACTCAAACTCATGTCTATCGAGTCGGTGATGCCATCCAGCCATCTCATCCTCTGTCGTCCCTTTCTCCACCTGCCCCCAATCCCTCCCAACATCAGGGTCTTTTCCAGTGAGTCAGCTCTTTGCATAAGATGGCCAAGTATTGGAGTTACAGCTTCAGCATCAGTCCTTCCAAAGAATACTCAGGACTGATCTCCTTTAGGTTGGACTGGTTGGATCTCCTTGCAGTCTAAGGGACTCTCAAGAGTCTTCTCCAACACCACAGTTCATAAGCATCAATTTTTCGGCACTCAGCTTTCTATATAGTCCAACTCTCACATCCATACATGACCACTGGAAAAACCATAACCTTGACCAGACGGACCTTTGTTGACCACGTAATGTCTTTGCTTTTTAATATGCTATCTAGGTTGGTCATAACTTTCCTTCCAAGGAGTAAGCATCTTTTAATTTCATGGCTGCAACCACAATCTGCAGTGATTTTGGAGCCCCCAAAAATAAAGTCTGACACTGCTTCCACTGTCTCCCCATCTATTTGCCATGAAGTGATGGGACCAGATGCCATGATCTTAGTTTTCTGAATGTTGAGCTTTAAGCCAGCTTTTTCTCTCTCCTCTTTCACTTTCATCAAGAGGCTCTTTAGTTCTTCACTTTCTGCCATAAGGGTGGTGTCATCTGAATATCTGAGGTTATTGATATTTCTCCTGGCGATCTTGATTCCAGCTTGTGCTTCTTCCAGCCCAGCATTTCTCATGATGTACTCTGTATATAAGTTAAATAAGCAAGGTGACAATATACAGCCTTGACATACTCTTTTTCCTATTTGGAACCAGTCTGTTGTTGCATGTCCAGTTCTATCTGTTGCTTCCTGACCTGCATACAGATTTCTCAAGAGGCAGGTCAGGTGGTCTGGTATTCCCATCTCTTTCAGAATTTTCCACAGTTTACTGAGATCCACATAGTCAAAGGCTTTGGCATAGTCAAGGAAGCAGAAATAGATGTTTTCCTGGAACTCTCTTGCTTTTTCGCTGATCCAGCAGATGTTGGCAATTAGATCTCTGGTTCCTCTGCCTTTTCTAAAAGCAGCTTGAACATCTGGAAGTTCACGGTGCATGTATTGCTGAAGCCTGGCTTGGAGAATTTTGAGAATCACTTTACTAGCGTGAGATGAGTGCAATTGTGCGATAGTTTGAGCATTCTTTGGCATTGCCTTTCTTTGGGATTGGAATGAAAACTGACCTTTTCCAGTCCTGTGGCCACTGCTGAGTTCTCCAAATTTGCTGGCATACTGAGTGCAGCACTTTCACAGCATCATATTTTATTTTTTTTAAATTTATTTTTATTAGTTGGAGGCTAATTACTTTACAGTATTGTAGTGGTTTTTGTCATACATTGACATGAATCAGCCATGAATTTACATGTATTCCCCATCCCGATCCCCCCTCCCACCTCCCTCTCCACCCGATCCCTCTGGGTCTTCCCAGTGCACCAGGCCCGAGCACTTGTCTCATGCATCCAACCTGGGCTGGTGATCTGTTTCACCCTTGATAATATACATGTTTCGATGCTGTTCTCTTGAAACATCCCACCCTCGCCTTCTCCCACAGAGTCCAAAAGTCTGTTCTATACATCTGTGTCTCTTTTTCTGTTTTGCATATAGGGTTATCATTACCATCTTTCTAAATTCCATATATATGTGTTAGTATACTGTAATGGTCTTTATCTTTCTGGCTTACTTCACTCTGTATAATGGGCTCCAGTTTCATCCATCTCATTAGAACTGATTCAAATGAATTCTTTTTAATGGCTGAGTAATATTCCATGGTGTATATGTACCACAGCTTCCTTATCCATTCGTCTGCTGATGGGCATCTAGGTTGCTTCCATTTCCTGGCTATTATAAACAGTGCTGCGATGAACATTGGGGTGCACGTGTCTCTTTCAGATCTGGTTTCCTCAGTGTATATGCCCAGAAGTGGGATTGCTGGGTCATATGGCAGTTCTATTTCCAGTTTTTTAAGAAATCTCCACACTGTTTTCCATAGCAGCTGTACTAGTTTGCATTCCCACCAACAGTGGAAGAGGGTTCCCTTTTCTCCACACCCTCTCCAGCATTTATTGCTTGTAGGCTTTTGGAAAGCAGCCATTATGACTGGCGTGTAATGGTACCTCATTGTGGTTTTGATTTGCATTTCTCTGATGATGAGTGATGTTGAGCATCTTTTCATGTGTTTTTTTAGCCATCTGCATGTCTTCCTTGGAGAAATGTCTGTTTAGTTCTTTGGCCTATTTTTTGATTGGGTCATTTATTTTTCTGGAGTTGAGCTGGAGGAGTTGCCTTTATATTTTTGAGATTAATCCTTTGTCTGTTGCTTCATTTGGTATTATTTTCTCCCAATCTGAGGGCTGTCTTTTCACCTTGCTTATAGTTTCCTTTGTTGTGCAAAAGCTTTTAAGTTTCATTAGGTCCCATTTGTTTATTTTTGCTTTTGTTTCTAATATTCTGGGAGGTGGGTCATAGAGGATCCTGCTGTGATTTATGTCGGAGAGTGTTTTGCCTATGTTCTCCTCTAGGAGTTTTATAGTTTCTGGTCTTACATTTAGATCTTTAATCCATTTTGCGTTTATTTTTGTGTATGGTGTTAGAAAGTGTTCTAGTTTCATTCTTGTACAGGTGGTTGACCAGTTTCCCCAGCACCACTTGTTAAAGAGGTTGTCTTTTTTCCATTGTATATCCTTGCCTCCTTTGTCGAAGATAAGGTGACCATAGGTTCGTGGATTTACCTCTGGGCTTTCTATTCTGTTCCATTGATCTATATTTCTGTCTTTGTGCCAGTACCATACTGTCCTGATGACTGTGGCTTTGTAGTAGAGTCTGAAGTCAGGCAGGTTGATTCCTCCAGTTCCATTCTTCTTTCTCAAGATTACTTTGGCTATTCGAGGTTTTTTGTATTTCCATACAAATTGTGAAATTATTTGTTCTAGTTCTGTGAAAAATACTGTTGGTAGCTTGATAGGGATTGCATTGAATCTATAGATTCACAGCATCATCTTTTAGAATTTGAAATAGCTCAACTGGAAGTCCATCGCCTCCAATAGCTTTGTTCGTAGTGATGCTTTCTAAGGCCCACTTGACTTCACATTCCAGGATGTCTGGCTCTAGGTGAGTGATCACACCATCATGATTATCTGGGTTGTGAAGATCTTTTTCGTACAGTTCTGTGTATTCTTGCCACCTCTTCTTAATATCTTCTGCTTCTGTTAGGTCCATACTGTTTCTGTCCTTTATCAAACCCATCTTTGCATGAAATGTTCCCTTGGTATCTCTAATTTTCTTGAAGAGTCTTTCTCATTCTGTTGTTTTCCTCTATTTCTTTGCATTGATCGCTGAGGAAGGCTTTCTTATCTCTCCTTGCTATTCTTTGGAACACTGCATTCAAATGTGAATATCTTCCCTTTTCTCCTTTGCTTTTCCCTTCTCTTCTTTTCTCAGCTATTTGTGAGACCTCCTCAGACAACCATTTTGTGTTTCTTTTCCATGGGGATGGTCTTGATCCCTGTGTCCTGTACAGTGACACGAACCTCCGTCCATAGTTCATCAGGCACTCTGTCTATCAGATCTAGTCCCTTAAATCTATTTCTCACTTCCACTGTATAGTCATAAGGGATTTGATTTAGGTCATACCTGAATGGTCTAGTGGTTTTCCCTACTTTCTTCAATTTAAGTCTGAATTTGGCAATAAGGAGTTCATGATCTGAGCCACAGTCAGCTCCCAGTCGTGTTTTTGCTGACTGTATAGAGCTTCTCCATCTTTGGCTGCAAAGAATATAATCAGTCTGATTTTGGTGTTGACCATCTGGTGATGTCCATGTGTAGAGTCTTCTCTTGTGTTGTTGGAAGAGGGTGTTTGCTATGACCACTGCATTCTCTTGGCAGACCTCTGTTAGCCTTTGCCCTGCTTCATTCCATACTCCAAGGCCAAATTTGCCTCTTACTCCAGGTGTTTCTTGACTTCCTACTTTTGCATTCTAGTCCCCTATAATGAAAAGGGCATCTTTTTTGGGTGTTAGTTCTAAAAGGTGTTGTAGGTCTTCATAGAACCATTCAACTTCAGCTTCTTCAGCATTACTGGTTGGGTCATAGGCTTGGATTACTGTGACATTGAATGGTTTGCCTTGGAAATGAACAGAGATCATTCTGTCATTTTTGAGATTGCATCCAAGTACTGCATTTCGGACTCTTCTGTTGACCATGATGGCTACTCCATTTCTTCTAAGGGATTCCTGCCCACAATAGTATATATAATGGTCATCTGAGTTAAATTCACCCATTCCAGTCCATCTTAGTTTCCTGATTCCTAGAATGTTGACATTCACTCTTACCATCTCCTGTTTGACCACTTCCAATTTGCCTTGATTCATGGACCCAGCATTCCAGGTTCCTATGCAATATCGCTCTTTACAGCATCGGACCTTGCTTCTATCACCAGTCACATCCACAACTGGGTATTCTTTTTGCTTTGGCGCCACCCCTTCATTCTTTCCGGAGTTATTTCTCCACTGATCTCCAGTAGCATATTGGGCACCTACCGACCTGGGGAGTTCCTCTTTCAGTATCCTATCATTTTGCCTTTTCGTATTGTTCATGGGGTTCTCAAGGCAAGAATACTGAAGTGGTTTGCTATTCCCTTCTCCAAAATACTTGTTAAAACTGAAGAAAAAATTTGAAAATCTTTCAAGAGAAATAAATGCATAAACCTATATTCTGATAATTCTAGTTCTGGGAATATGTCCCAATAATATAATCATTCAGGTGTACAAGTATGTATCAACAAGAATGGTCATCAGAATATTGATTATAATAGTGAAAAACTGGAAACAGTGTAAACATCTGTCAACAGAAGAGTGTTTAAATGAACTATTGTATATTTTTGCACTATAATACTGTTTAGTTATTTAAAATGGTAGATTTCTTCATTGATATTTAAATACTTCTGTGACACATTTTTGAGAAAAAATAGGAAAAAGCAGGCGTGTATAGTTTTATTTCATTGACAGAAAATTGTATGTGTTTATGCATGTTTGATTGTGAAGTTTACATGAAAGATACTTGGAACATCAAAATATTAATCGTGGATATATGAGTATTGAGATTTTGTGCATGTTTCTGATTTTCTTATATTTCTTGAATACACTGAATTTTCTACATTTGTGTTTTATCTTTACCACAAAAGACATTACTAAAATTATTTTCATTTTGATAACAAAATTTATACATACATTATGATTTGCTTTATAGACCATTTTTGAGAATAAATTAAAAATAAAAAGTTAGATTGTACAATTTTTTTGGTGTTGGAGATTGTATTTTAAAGACTTACTGAATATCTTCCAAAGGTGCTGGTAGTACTTTTCAAAGAAACTTATTTAGTTTATGTTTTCACATTGCTGACTGTGCTATATGTTGTGCTTTATGCCTTACACCATTTCTCTCCAAATTAGTGTTTTGCGATTTTACATGTGCTCTATGAAGGATGAACTCACTTAACATATCTATTCTCTCTCACAGAAACTGAATGACCTCTTTAGGGCTGAGGACATCTCTGACATCTTGCTCTAATGACTGGTAGCCGGGTTCTAATTCCCTAGAATGAAGCTGGAATTCTCAAAATACACACTTTCAGTTTACTCACTTTTATTAAACTAGGCACACAGCTGAAACATTACAAGGTGTCTTTGTGTGGGTATGAGGGCTTCAATATGAATAACGGTCCTCAGACTGGCCTCCTGAGATGTTTATCTCTAGCAGCTTCTTCAAGAAATTTAAGAACAGCCATTGGTTTGAAGCCTAAACGATGGGCTCTCATGACGCAAATGATATGACTGAATATTGTTAATGATTTTTTAACAACAGTTTGGGAAGAGATAGTAGGAAGTTGGGGAGGTAAGCCTAAAATGCATTTCCACCTTTTCTGGAATATGCAGTAATTCAAGCTTTCAACCCCTTGGTTTTCTTCTGGACCAGGGTAATGAGCTTCTAACTAGTCTTACTGTGTGCGGTCTCTTCTCTTTATAATCTAACTTTTACATTCTGAACGTGAATCTGTCAGATCCTGTTTGCATCATTCTGCCTGTAGCTCAAGACTTTTTGTCTAAAAAATAAAACCCAAATTTGTTATTAGCTAAGGACATTCTCTTCTCTATGTCTTGGCCCATGTTTTAGCTGTGATATGCCTTATTCATTCTAAAAGTCAGCCTGAAAATCATCTTTTATAAGAAACCATCTCTCATCTCCATGATTGGACAGAATTTATCCTCTTAGCACAAACTTACATCCAGTATCTAATATCTACTCCAGTTTCTGTAATGTCCACTGCATTTGGCAGGATTAATGTTTAATAATCATTTATTGAAGGAATAGGAGGCTTCTACTTTTGACATAACCAATTGATGTTCCCCAATATTAGCCCTACCTCTGCCTACTGGCCTAGATTCTGTTTCCAAATTGTTCTGGTTCAGTTGTTTATTCTGATCTTGTCAAACACTTAAACAATATACCTAACTTCCCTTGCTCTAATTTTGTGCTCACGAAGCACTTTTCTCATAACTTGGCTCCCAGTGTAATTTGTCTCTAGGGGTAAAGGTTGTCAGACAAGCAGATGACTCAATCCCCTGTACATCGTAGGCCTTGTTATAGCTTAACTCAGTGATTCCAAAGTGAGGTCCCTGGACAATTAGCATCAGCATCACCTGGGAACTTACTGAAATGCAAGTTCTAACTACAGAATCAGAAATTCTGACATTGGGGCCCAGAGATCTGTTTTTTAATAAGCCTTCCAGGTGATTTTGTTACATGCCAAAGTTTTAGAACCATTGGATTAATTTATATTCTTAAGAATTTCAGAAAAGGTAAGGTATGTGAGCTGAGATTGGTCAGCTCTGACTCTGCAGGCCTGAATGTCAAACCCTGGTCTGTGATGATAAACTAAGGGTCTGCTTGTGAGATTTCTTGGCAGGCAGCCTCGGGGCCCCTTCATTTGAGAAACCAGACTTGCTTTGTTTATTTTCTATGTTGATCTTTGAAGCAAAGTATTATTTGTCCAAACTATGTTAACATGTATTTTAACACTTACTACCTGTGTGTTTAGTTGCATAAGAAAAAAGGAAAGAAGGAAAAATGAAAATGATTTAAAAAAACAAACTCAAGGATAGAGAAATGCTCAAATTGCACAAACAATAGACTTCTGATTTTTGAAACCATAATCATAAAAAATATAGTTGCTCATGACCTAAAGCTCTTCACTCATGATGTAAGAAAATGTGAATAAGAACGAATGTACAAGCAAATTGACTTGAAAGAAGTATGATGAAACACATCCTTCATCATTCAGGGAAGGAAAATATGCATTTAGCAGTTGTAAATATATCACAAAACATTAGGTTTATTATCATATTTGTTTTATGATAAAATAAAGAACAAAGGCAAAAATTAACTTACCATAGATTCAATATTTCCACTCAAAGTCCTATATTTCTCTGTAGCTGGTGAACTAAACTCATCACTATATGGAACACCCAGGATTTGAATGCTGCTTTGGTAAAAGGAAGATTTTTGATCTGTAAAACAAGGAAAAGGCTGAATCAATCTCACATTACTAAGTACTTTAATTTTTATTTCATATAGGATTATTTAGGCTATGTTATATAATTTAAAAAAATTTAATTCCTTTAAAAGGAAAAAATTCTAAACTTAGTAAAAATGTAACTATAATAAAAATTATTTTCTCTTTCAGTCTTTAAAAAGATTGGCAAAGCTGAAACATTAAAAATGCATGAAAATCAGATCAGCATTATTTGAGAAATTAGGCTCCTGTCTTTGTGTTTAAGTTTGACAGTACAGTGTTGTTAGGAGGGAAAATTCATTAAAACTGAAATTTGATGTTAGTTTTTCTTACTTCTGTAATTCACCTTGCACATAGTAGTCTCTAGGTGATTTGATAGCAAAATACAGTCCAAAGTAAAATTTAGCTACAATTTTATAATTCAATTGACTGAAAAGACTATTACTAGTTACTGGAATAAATTTATTCTCACTTAGTCTCTACCCTTACACATACCCATATGCCTTCATTCTCCTCCTATCCCAGCCCCTATGATTTAAATGATGCAATGGGATTATAGCTGAAGTAAAAAAAAAAAAACAGATTATAGCATATATTATCTAGTGAAATTTGACACATTTTATCTACATTAAAACCTCTGAAAGAATATTCACTGGGATATTATTGTGTGTTAATGAACAGTGTATATGCATTCTTAATATTGTTTCTGTTTCATATTTTTAATAAAAAATTAAAGAAAATAAGAGAAACAAGAAGAGCAGAATCATTTTTAAAGTTTGTTTTTAACCTCTTTCTACTTCTTAACTGCAAATTCATCTCTTATCATAACTGTCCTGCTCCTAAGATTGTTTTCAGGACACAGATCATGAATTAATGAATATTTAGGTACGTCCAACTTTTAGATTTTGAAACTTAAGGTCCTTTGCAATATTTTAAATAAAGAAGGAAATTATAGGATTAAAGAAAAACAAAACAAGTGAACTCTAGCATCAGATAAATATTGTCTTTTTCGTCGGCTAGAATAATCCTTGCCTGGGTAATAATGTTGTTTGGTATACTAAAAAAGGCCAAAATAAGTAAATAAATAAATAAAACTAGAAGAGGAAAAAATACTGAATTATAGAAAATATAAACATGGAAATATATTTAGAGGTATATAAATAAAATGTATAATTATGTTGTATTAAAAAATAAAAGTGGCAATAAAAGAGAGAAGGCCAAACTTTGAATCTGAAAGTATATTTAGTGAATTCATCTGAGAAGTGGTATTTCCAATCTTTCGGTACTTACCAAAAGCTAAAAAGTAGACAAGTAGACCTATGATCACTGCTAGGATCGCCACCACTGCGACAACAGCAAAAAATACTACATATGGATTCAGGGATCTTGAGGCTGATGCCACTCGTGCTGGCCTTAGAACAAGGGGGAAAGATCAAAGCCCATTCTTTTCACTCAGAGAAGCCATCATTTCAACACTGCTGAAGTCTCTTAGGTTGCTCATGGCTCTATTATAGAAAATTGATTGGTTCTTTTTTTTTGTTTATTTACTTATTTGGAGGATAATTGCTTTACAGTAACAGTATCATGTTGGTTTCCGCCATACAAATAGGAATATGATTCTGAAATGAAATCAAACTGAACAACACTCTCTTTAATGGTATTTCTTACCATTTTTTAAGCACTACAATGTTGACATTTAGGTAGTTTGATAGAAGAATAAGGAAATATGATTTATGGTTTGCAACTGCTTTTTCTTCTTCTGACACTGTTTCTCAAGAATAACAATGCTTTTCTGTTTTACTACAACTTCTAAGACCCCTGTTGGACACTACTGTAGTAAGCTCCCTTACCTGGGCACCATCCCCAGGGATGTGCTGAGATCATTTTTTGGTGGGGAGAGGGGCAGAGGGACTCAGAATAGTAGCATTTCTCACAGTAATAGCTTCTATATTATTAAAATGAGGATATGGCTAGAGGCTGAGAGCTGAGATCCAGAAGAGTATCAAGCACTTATAATTAATTAGAACTTTACTAGCAGCAGAGGATTTGTGTGATTTTGTTCACCCATGAGTTTATCAATAGCAGTGTAAGCCAATCAGTTCAGTTCAGTCACTCAGTGGTGTCCGACTCTTTGTGACCCCATGAATCGCAGCACGCCAGGCCTCCCTGTCCATCACCAACTCCTGGAGTTTACTCAAACTCATGTCCATCGAGTCAGTGACACCATCCAGCCATCTCATCCTCTGTCATCCCCTTCTCCTCCTGCCCCCAGTCCCTCCCAGCATCAGGGTGTTTTCCAGTGAGTCAGCTCTTTGCATGAGGTGGCCAAAGTATTGGAGTTTCAGCTTCAGCATCAGTCCTTCCAATGAACACCCAGAACTGATCTTCTTTAGGATGGACTGGTTGGATCTCCTTGCAATCCAAGGGACTCTCAAGAGTCTGCTCCAGCACCACAGTTCAAAAGCATCAATTTTTCGGTGCTCAGCTTTCTTCACAGTCCAACTCTCACATCCATACATGACCACTGGAAAAACCATAGCCTTGACTAGATGGACCTTGTTGGCAATGTAATGTCTCTGCTTTTTAATATGCTGTCTAGGTTGGTCATAACTTTCCTTCCAAGGAGTAAGCCAATAGGTTTGTATTAACACAGTATCTGGTTTCTGGATTGTAGTATCTGATTTCTTGGATTATATTAGGCATATAATCCAAGTACTTCCTCACTGTCTCCTTTCCCACCACACGCACACACTGGGAAGTTCACCAGAACTACTGTGTATGAATTCCTATTTTATCACCGTTTGCTTGGAGATCATATTGTCATTTATTTGAGATTTTCTTCATCTGAAAAATGGGACTAATACTTGCTTCATAAGGCTGTTTTGAATATCAATGAGGTTATGTTTTAGAGGCTATGTAAAGTGTATAAAGTAGATATTTCTACTAAATATGTTATCTATTAGGCTGTGAGAACTTTGAAGATAAAGTTAGTATTCATGCATATGTTTCCAACACTTTGTAGGCTACTTGGCTTATATAGGTGGTGCATGCAAGCATGCCAGGTCACTTCAGTCATGTCTGACTTTTCACTCCTCTGTCCATGGGATTCTCCAGGCAAGGATACTGGAATGGGTTGCCATGCTCTCTTCCAGGAGATCTTCCTGACCCAGGGGGCGACCAGGGAGCAAACCCACATCTCTTATGTCTACCTGCTTTGGCAGGCAGGTTCTTTACTACTAGGACCACCTAGGATTTATGATATTTATAAATATTTATTGTATATGTTAACTCCTTGGTGTGTTTCAGTTTTAAAAGCCTTAACAGAACTGAAAAGCCATTACATTTTTGCCAGAACACGGTCAGACTTCCATTTCTTTCTTTCTATTTGTTTTGCTAACGTTCTGGTATATATGGGAAGGGGATGATCTGAGAGCCAGTGACTCCCAGAGTGTAGGTTTCACAGCAGAGTTGCCTGGTGTTTGGGCTTTACACAACTCACACTGATGAAGGGGCATCTCCTGGTGTTTTACCTTGTATCACCTGTACATTGCAGGCTTTGGATATGGGACCAGTATCATTTCAGAGGAATTCACTGGTAAAGAATCTGCCTGCAATGCGGGAGACCCTGGTTTGATTTCTGGGTTGGGAAGTTCCTCTGGAGAAGGGATAGGCTACCCATTCCAGTATTCCTGGACTTCGCGGTGGCTCAGATGATAAAGAATCCACCCACAACGTGAGAGACCTGGGTTTGATCCTTGGGTTGGGAAATTCCCCTGGAGGAGGGCATGGCAACCCACTCCGGTATTGTTGCATGGAGAATCCCCGTGGACAGAGGAGCTTGGCGGGCTGCAGTCCATGGGGTTGCAAAAAGTCGAACATGACTGAATGGCTAAGCACATCATTTCAGAAGATTATTTGAGGTGGCCATAGACTTGCTGACTTTTTTGTTGAATAAACACATTAAACATTATCAAAATTGACCAGCTCAAATATTATTGTTTAATAAAAGGGCATCTAAATTCATGAAAATACGAATAATGTAATCTCAGAATAACAAAAAAGATGAATAATTTAGCCTTAGCTTAATGATGTCTTTTTACTACATTGCTCTTATTAATTTTGCTATGCTAGTGAAAACTGACTTTCACTAACACTGGTCCAACATCTGGGAATGAATAACTCTATGCTGGGAAAGATAGAAGGCGGGAGGAGAATGGGATGACAGAGGATGAGATGGTTGGATGGCATCACTGACTCAATGGACATGAGTTTGAGTAAACTCTGGGAGTTGGTGATGGACAGGGAGGCCTGGTGTGCTGCAGTCCATGGGGTCATAAAGAGTCAGACACAACTGAGCAACTGAACCTAACTGAACTGTAGTCATTTTCTGAGTAGGATAAAATTGGTACATTGATATTTGCTGACTTTTTAAGCCTCAATTTACTCTTCTGTTTCTTTGTGGTTTTGTTGTGGCCGGTGACACGTGGTCACAGTTGCACACTGTTTGACATTTGCAAGTTCAGCGAATGTCAGTGGGTGCTTGGCAGGGTAGAACCAAAAGAAGAGCTTAAAGCAAGCCATCCCAGAGTGTCACTTCAACTACCAGGAACCAACTGTATTTCCAGAGATGAGTAGAAATGTCAAGATTTATTAGTGTAGAGTGAGAAATTTCTAAGAACTAGGCTTAAGTTGGAAGCTGAAACAACAACAACAAAAACAACCAAAACAAACTCCCAAACCGAAGGCTAGAGTCAGCACGTGCTTTAGCTTGGCTGAGCCTCTCATGGGAATGGTTTTCGAGGCAACTTGGCTTCAGTTCATGGAAAACATCTTAAAACTCAGTGGCTGAAAAGCACCATGAGACATATGACTCAATAAACAAAGGGTGTGGACCTCAAATTAGCTTAATCTCACAAGCTGTATTTAATTACATAACAGTGTGTTGTTCCACTTTGTAGAAACAACTAAAGAAGTATCTGTTCTCTTGTTGGTATCTGCTCTCTTGTTACAGGTTCAACTTGTCATTGAACCTCTGTATGTGGCTGATTATAAAGCTTATGACAACACATACTAAATTGTGTCCAATGTTTGCTTTGCAAATTCTTAGAGAAAATGTTTGCTAAGACTGTCTGAATTTTGACTCATGCGCAGTGGAAATCTGCAAGCAAATATTTTGCTTTTAAAGCAGGATCTTAATCAGTGAAGTTTTTAGTGCTTGTGTTTAAACAGCAAAACAAATACATAGTTGTGACATGTTTAACCAGCTTCCGCCTCCTTCTTTCTCTCATTGACTTGTAAAATTACAAGAATGTTGAAAAACATATTCTATGCTCTTATGAGAACCTAAGCGGCAGACTTTATACATGTTTATTGCCAATCTTCATAATAGTCTTATAAGGTGGATATTATGACCCCTGTTTGGAAGACAGGAAAACTGAGGCCCAGAGAAACATAAATAACTCATAATTTCTCAGGAGTGACAGAAACTGGAAATAGAAAGGGCGGTTAGAATGTAAGAACATGGACTTCCTCTGACATACACTTCCTCCCTCACACTATAAGAGACAGAAAAGCTTTGGGACTCTTATCTCTCCTGATATCACTTGGAGGAAGCAAAGAGAATCAACATCTATTGAGTTTTTAGTTTTTATTAAATTGAGCACTAGAATTTTGTTCTTACACATAGCATATGTGCAATAAAATAATTGTTGGTTTAATTTGAGAGTACATCTTAGATTAATATATCAGATTTATGTAAGAATACTAGTTAATTTTGTCCATTGACACATAGTTAAAACCAATATATGGTTGTTGATTAATACAGTCACTTGGCAATGACTTTCCATTATTTGTAAGAACAGAGGAAAACAGGGAAAGGTAATTACAAATTCAGATATACATAGTATGTGTTTAGAGGACTTTTAGACAGTTTTGTGTCTCTTTGAATAAGATTTCAGGTATGATATAAAGATTGGTCCATGATTGTTATTTCATGATATATATTCTTCCTTGCTGATCCCATCGTGCACCCTGGTTTCAGGTAGCATTTAATAAGGTAATATTTTCTGAGATAGATCTTCACCCTCAGATCTCAATCTCTGAGCTCCACACCATTATTTCCAGCTGTGCATTGGACATCTTATGGATGCTTTACAGCCTCCTTAAGTATAACAGTTCAGTTCAAAACTGAACTTGCTATCTTTTTCTCCAGAGTTTTTCTCTTCCCTACTATTTCTAATATTGGGAATGTCCCTACCATCTATCTGGTACCATAAGTTAAAGACCCAAGATTTGGTTGTACCTGCCCCCTCTTGATAATTTTCCACTTTTGAGAGGTCATTGAATGGTGTTTATCCTATTGCCTAAATCTTTCTGTTCATTCCCTCTCTCTTAATTCTCGATGTTATCATCTTGTATTATGTGAAATGCCTGTTAACTGGTCTCCTTTCTTCCGTTACCTAATTAAGAGACATTTGGTGAGTGCCTGCAATGGTCTAGGCAAAATTTAACTGCTGGAAATACAATGAAAAGAAACAATCATAGCAGTCCTAATAGTGAGAGGAGAGAAATGAGTAAGATAAGTAAGTAAAATAAAGGAAAAATAAAAGCAAAGAGATGAGAAAGGGAATATATATGGGATGCTGAGAATTTAAATAGAGTGACCAGGAAAGGCCTTGCTGAAGAGTTGACGTTTGAGTAGACCAGAAGGAGGTGAGTGAGCAAGTCATGGAGATATCAGGGGGAGAATTATTTAGGTGGGAGAACAGCAGTTTGGAGGCCCTGAGCCAGGAACTCATAGGGTAAATTTGAGGACCATTAAGAGAGGCAACTGAACTGGAGTGGAGTGAGACAGTCAGGGGTGGGGGACATTGAAAGAAAACAAGGTCAGAAAGATAAGGAGCAGGGAGTCAGTGGTCGGGGGAAAATCATTTAGGGTTTTGCACTTAAGGACTTTGATGTTTATTCTGAGCGAGACAGGGTCTTTGAGGGTTTTGAACAAAGGCATGACATCAGATCTATTTATTTAATAGGTTCCCACTCTGGGTACTTCATGAGGAGTAGTGGGCCTGGGATGGAGAGGGAGACCTCTTGCATGCATGCTAAGACTCTTCAATTGTGTCCGACTCTTTGTGACTCTATGGACTGTAGCCCGCCAGGCTCCTCTGTCCATGGGAGTCTCCAGGCAAGAATACTGGAGTGGGTTGCCATTTCCTCCTCCAGGGAGACCTCTTAGGAGCTCACTAAATAACTAGAGTGAGAGACGATGGTAGTTTAGAAGAGGTGGTAGAAGTGGAGATGGTGAAAAGTGGTCAGAATCTATATATATTTTGAATTTAGGCCTTAGAGGATTTGCTGATGATTCACTTATGAGATGTGGGAAAAAGAGGAATCCAGACTGAATTCAGGATTTTTGCCTCTTTCCAATCAACCCTTTAAAATCCTTCAAGTGCTTTAAAAAAATCCTCCCTTCCAATAATACCTCATTTTAAATTTATCTACAGCTCATCAAAAATCCTCAAATGGCATTCAAACCATCCATGGCATTTAAGGCCAACCTCTGCAACTTTATCTTCTGTCACATCCTCACCTACCCACCTGACCTCATCCAGATCAAATGTCACAGTCACTTCTGCATGTGATGTCTTTTGCCTGGAGAATGTCATATCTGTATAGTTCTCATTTTATCCTAAAATAATTCAAGCATCTTTCATTTCCCACCACATAGTTACCCTTTTCTCCTCTTGCTGCCCCTCATCTGATCTCATAATGCTCAATGAATTTCTCTACTACAGTCCTTATCCCTTCATGTGCCTGCATCCAGGATTCTGTAGCTCAGCAGTGCCCAAGCTTTCTTTTACCAGGAACCAGTTTTTTTGAAGGCAATTTTTCCACAAATGGCGGGGCGGGGGTGGGGGGAGGTTTTGGGATGATTCAAGTATGTTACAATTTTTATGTACTTTATTTTTATTTTGTGGCAATCTCAGTATATTGTGCCTTGACTTCTGGGTTAGGGTTCACTTTCTTTCACACTCATAAGGATCTGATGCTGCCACTGATCTGACAGGCGGCAAAGTTCAGGCAGTAATGTGAGTGATGGGGGGTGGCTGTAAATACAGATGAAGCCTCGCTTGACCTCCGCTGACCCTCCGCTATGCAGTCTAGTTCCTAACAGGCCACATATCAGTACCAGTCTGTGGCATGGGGGTTGGTGACACTTGCCGTAACTCATGAAACGTAGAGATGCATCTTGTCTGCCAGGATATGCCTCATTCATATACAATATATATTATAGAGTGAGTCCACATCAGGCATTGCAATAGAAAAATTGATGAATAACTGCAAATAGGGATTTTAAAAAATAATTTTACTATTTTTTGGAAGGACTTTAACACTGTAGTCTGTGCATTCTTATTTTAAATACTAAAAAAAAAAATACAGATCAGAGAATAATCTCTGCCATCTATTGAGTGCTTACAGTGTACTGGCTGAACTTTTCAACATCATTTAATTTAATCCCTGTTAAAAACCCTTGGTCAGGTGCTCAGTCATGTCTGACTCTTTGCAACCCCATGGACTGCAGCACACCAGGTTCTCTAGTTTACAGATAATAGAATAGAAGCTTAGTTAGTCAGCTAGTAAGAGGGCTGGAATGCAAACCCAGATCTGTCAAGCTCAAACTACAAAAGGACCACTTCATATGGGAAGAAGTTTTCTGTTAATTATTATGTTGTTATTAATTTCTATCACATTTACTACTTTGGTGGTACTAAGAAACAGAAAGTTCAAAATATTTCTATAGCCCTTATAGGATATACAAAGACAGTTATTTGAGTGTGTGTATCAATATGTTGGAGTTATGCAGAATATGAGAAATAGTTCCAAAGAAGAGGGACTTTTTCTATTTTAGTCCTTTTCATTAAATCTCGATGGTTGTCATGAGGCAGGCATTAGAGACTATCCTGTTCAATGATTTAATTTTTTAAGTTGAGGAATGCTTTGTTCAAACAAGGTCTTAAAAAACTTGAAAGCTTAATGATTAAAACAGATGAAAATGGAATAGCTTCTTCATTTGATTTTGAGTTGTGGGAAAAGGACCCTTTCCTATTTCTAACAAATCACTGATCTAGCCCAACTCTTTTATTAATTTCTTAAGTATTTAAAAAAATTTTGTTGTTGTTGTTGTTCTTGATAGCTTTAGTTATGCTCTAAAAGAAAAGAGAGACACAGAATTATTCAAGATTGCACAACTGGATGATGGTAGAGTTGGGGCTCTAGTTTTAAGATTTCTTTGATATATTTGCTTTATTAAAACATGATGCATTCTTAAAACACTGGGTTCATATGGAAGATAAGATTCCTATCCTTGAATCACATATCCATGAGACTTTGTGTGCATATACCTTTGGAATGCACTGCATGACTTTCTTTTAATTCAGTGGTTTATTTTCCAACTTAATCTTGGGTAACAATTAAATAAGCTTATAGTCATTGAGGATATAAATCACATATTGTTACCCTGCTTTTTTAACTTATATGCAGAATACATCATGCAAAATGCCAGGCTGGATGAAGCACAAGCT